GCTGCATCCTGCTAAGGGTGTTCGGCATCTCGTGCTTACTTCCTTGCGTACGGATGACAGTTGCGTCTGACTTAGTTTATTTTCTGGTGCTTTCACTTCCTGAGACAGTTGTAAGCACTGTGTAATTGCCTCGAGGGTGCTTGACCATTTTAACACAACGTGGTGCGATCATCCCCCTTGCGCGAAGTGACATTTCTCGACCCCGCACAACATGATCTACTCGACCACCATAACGGTTACCGCCAAAAAAAAAGAGGTAAAAAAAACCCGGTAACCTGGTTGCCGAGTTCACGAAGTGANGAGAGAGAGAGAGAGAGAGAGAGAGAGACGAGGGAGGGAGGGAGGGAGGGACGGGGGGGGAAACATAACTCAACGCCGGGAAAATATCTGGATATAATACTGGCACATGCGTATCCAGAAACAAGTTGAAAATATTTATCCGCACCACATACGAAGTACAAGTAGCCCAACATACAAAAGTTCAAACAACAACCTGTTCCTCATGCATTTGATGACGCCAAAAAGCGGTCGAAGCCCATACCACGTGACCAGACCTCCTCCACACGCTGATCCCCGACCGGCACACTGCCGGAATATGGCGTGTAACGACCTACTTTAGCTCCCAATACCCACGACCACGAGTCTGGCAACAGTACAGCAAGGTTGATCACCTAAGCTTCTCACCTGTCCGAGACGTCGCTCCAAGATGTGGAATTGGGCGTTGAACGCGCTGACGAAGATGAGGATAGGGAAAAACACAATCTGAAGAATCCGCGGGTCCATATGAATCCACGCTTCAATGCCCTGTGATTTCCATTCACCGATTGTTATCGTTGTGGAGGTTTAGTGATCGCATTGGTGGCGGTGGTTGGTGCTGTTGTTGGTAATGCGGGCATCTTTCTGCACGGTTGTTGCTGCAGCTGTTGAGCATGTGCTCACTTGCCTGATGTTGTTGCCAATGCCCGACTAATGAACGCTATTGTTGGCGATGTCGGCACCTGTTTGATATCGGTGCGCTACACTGCCCATACAGTTGTGCTGGTGCTGTTGGTGCCTGTTGCGGCAGCCGCTGCTGTCCTCTTCCCACCATCGTGCCCCAAGGCAGCAACGAGAAATTACACACCGTTTCGTAACTGTTACTTGGAACAATCCTGACAAAACGCCTACATTAACCGTCTTGTTACATCATGGCCCATCACGGTTAGGCCCCCGTAAGCCGGCCACAGCAGCATGTACGAACGTCCACCGCAGTCGGGGGCTCTCACTTCGGCCGGCGTGCATGTACGTGAAGAACAAGCCGGCATCGCAACAACAAAAAAAACTCAAAAACTACGACTATTCACTCTGTGCCAGGCGATTCCTCTGGCGCCGAGCTCGGCGTCGGCACACACAAGGGAGAGTTCCGGACGGTAGACAAGCGTGAGCCTCTTGGCCATATCGGTAAGCTTTCGGCGTAAAACACCCGCGCCGGCAGGGCACAGTCTTGCGCCCACATCCGATTCCCCAGGGCTCGGGAAAGGGTGGGGGTACGGGTATCACCCGCCAACCACCCGTACCGTACCAGACCATAATAGCTCGGTACGGTTTCCAAACCATCCCGGAGACGTTGACTACGACTTCTTCCACCACCAGCCGGCATATTCGCCACGTTCGTTATGACAATCCACATCCATGTCGACAGGCCCCTACCGGATATGACATAAGATAACGCGCCCCCTGGACCGATTTTCAAAGCTCGATTACTCCACGACGAAAATGATGCATAGACGAAAGAATACGTTTACAAAGAGCTCTCGACCAGACGGCTTCAACGCCACCGTTTTCGGTCCTGAGGCTGTTGCTGCTATTGAAAAACCGAGCTTTGAAAATCGGTCCAGGGGGTGTGTTGTCTTGTGTCATATACGGTACCCTACCTAACACGGCCTCCCGTTTTCGTCGCCACCAACAGAAAATGTCCGTAGCTTCCTCCGAAAATCTGTTGCGGTTGACCATAGATGTCGACAGAACCTCCGAAATTCCGTTGGCGTTCTCGACAATGTTAGTACTCACATTGTTGAGGGCGTGGTTGAAAGGCTCCTCCAGTTCGGTGAAGAACACGCCGAAGATGCCTCCCCATAGCAGAAGCAGCACCGTATAGGGGATCCTGAAAAGTGCCCATCACAATGCGCGACCGGGAGACAGGTTCGGGCGAACGTTGAAGATCAATGCACATATCGCGGTGAAAAAATTGTGCTTACGGAAACGACGCAAACTCTCGTCTCTATTCCGAGAAAGAGTCCAGGATCAAATCGCCATGTGTTCATAGTGCAAAAAAAGCTTTCCCTCCGAAGAAAACAAACTTACGCTGAGCACGCGGGGCGATGCAAGGACACTGGAGAGTCAACGTACAGCATTTCACCTAAGATAACACCCCCACGAAGGAAACCATCCGTCCCACACAGACTACATCACCCAGTGACAAGATGTTTGCGGCTCAACATTAACCCAATCCTGAATCATATCCTCAGATGAAAAGGGTCACCGAAGATACCACCCCCCACAGAATAACCCTCCCGTGGTCATGTACAAACGCCAACAATGTCATCACCGGGTGGGGTTACCTTGTGTGGAATACTTGCTTGAATTAGTTAGACGGGAGGGACAAAGGCAACTGGTTAATGTCTGTGCCCAGGCATCCTGGGTTAGGCGCAGCCAAGGCAAGCACCTCAGGGGGTGATCATGGAAAAAAAGAAAAGTAAGAGCCTCCGATTAGAAGCGCCCGTGTGCGACCCCGCCTGCAACCTGAAGTTACAGATTACGCGGAAAAACAGCGCTGAATTCCTCGGGCTGTGAAGCCTAGGGACGGGCGGCGAAATGCGAGCACCGATTAACGGCATCCTCTCTCTTCAGATTGTGCAGGAACAACGACGAGACGCGAGCACTGTTTGACGACGTCCGCTTGTGAATGTGGATGAAAAAAAGTGTGTGTGTGTGTGTGTGTGGGGGGG